CGTTGAAAACATAATTACAAATCTTAAATATTACATTCGCGCCACGACACAAGCGTTAAACATACATAGAATCGTGTAACAAACGTCAGACGACTTACGCCGACTTACATATGTATGTATACAAATGTAAGTTCAAGCATAATTAATTTTCATGCTATGCCAAACAATGTCATATTGTTCGTTTTACCAGGACTCCTTCCGCTCCAGTAGTGTCTTCCCGATTTATGAATTTCAATGTACCACCTTTAGTTACAAATATTAACTATTTATGAAATTAATACCCAAGTCTGCTTGGCGTGTCATTGTCTTATGCAGAAAAGGTGCAAGCATGTGTAACTTCCTGATAAATAGATATTTAAATCTTCTCGTGCAATTTATAATATGTATGTATGAGTACAGATTTAGTTAAATAATGGTGAAAATGAAAAACAATATCTAGTTTGACTTTCCCAGAGTCGAAATCAACCAATCATGGGTTTTTACCACTTGTTAACAGTTTATACCACTTTTTACCATTTTACCACTTGTTACCACTTTGTACCACTGTGATGGTAAAAATTAACCAAAGTGGTAAAATTTAAAACACTGATCAAAAGCAACCAGATCTTCCAATCGAACGGGGTGAAGAACCAGGTCCACTTTGGTGTAGTGTGGCAACTGAGGTGAGTTAAACTCACCTCAACTCACATGAGTTGTGAGTTATGAGTGAGTTGAGTTGGAGTATTCCTCAACTCATTTATAAATGATTGAGTTCAAAAAGTCGTGAGCTGAGGCGAGTTATGCATATGTGAGTTGATGAGTTAACTCATTAACTCATTAACTCACTAACTTATTTTGTGCACACACCGCCATATATTAGTGCATGTTATTATCTCTTTCCCCGATTTGTGCACATTTCCAGAGAATACAAATTTTTCCTCCACTCCTACTTAACAGTTTTCTCGTCCAAATGTTCATTAAATATAATTAAATAAATAATAAATAGATAAATAAATTGATAGAATATCATAAAATTAAAACTAAATATTTCGATACCTACAATCTGATTTAATTTCGCTTAAATTGTATATTGTGAGTTCGAATAACGGCGATCTATCCTCCCAACAAGCATCCGATACAATTGCTGGCCCCTCCAGAAATATTGGAAGAAACGTAAACTGTCCTCGGACGTTCGCTATCATTTCTCTTTGTCTGCCGATGGACAGTCATATACATGCAATTTTTGCAGGAATTACTATCTATATTATACACATTGTAATTTGTAGCCGAACCAATTATTTTTCAAACCAATAATTCTGGGTGGGTGGGTTTAAATTTTATAGCAAATCCTACATGAAAAAAGGCAGTGTTTCCTCAAATATGTAAATTCGCTTCACTTCACATTAAAGCATCCTCAAAAGTTGGAAAAAACTGAAGGACAACCTGCCGGTGCAAATTCAATTAAACAATTTTTTATATCAAATGGGGATCAACCTTTACCGGTACCGGTAACGACATATGTATATATTGATTGATTACGTATAATAACAGTATTAATTCGAACGCTAATTTATACAGGTGTACAGCCAAGAAGGATTTCGCCGTTTCTTAACCGAATTCATTTTACTAAGTGACCAACCATTTCGAATTGTTCATGAAAACTCATTCCAAAGGATGGCTGAAAGCGAGATCTCAGAAGTCATTCAGACAAACAATTTGTGAATTCGTTGCTGCAAAAATGCTAGGCGAATCTGGCGAATATTACATCGATTTATAGAATTTTGAGCACAATAAAACATTCACATATCGTAAAATACAAAATACTGACACGTATGTACTTTCATTTACCGGTATAATTTTTTGTAGTGCACAAATGAGTTAAACTCACCTCACCTCATTTATGAAGTGAGTTGAGGTGAGTTGAGGTGAGTTAGTATTTAGTTGAGTTGAGGTTTTCTTCAACTCAACTCATTTATGAAGTGAGTGAGGTGAGTTGGAACAAAACTCACCTCAACTCACCTCAGTTGCCACACTACTTTGGTGCTGTGAAGGTGGCATGCTCCACACAGTAAAGCGAATGCATCGTCTGCTGGTTGAAACCGCCCATGAGAGCGTATTCGTAGTCTGAAATGTTATCAACAGCTCCCCTCTCCATCGTTCCCCAGCACAGCGGGGGACCGATAGACTCTTCATATGGAGAGCAAACACTTTCATCTGGAATTTAAAGATCAAGCGATATTATAATTTTATTAAGCTGAATCTTTAGGAATGTTGCACCCCATAAATGCTCTTCAGTCATGGGTTGCACCAATACAAAAGTGTCCAATATTTACTAAGAAATAGTAAAGTTGGAAAACACAGACAATATAGAACCGGTCTACATAATTTACTTTTATTTTAAGGTTTGTATTAATATTTGAATGTAAGGCCCCATCTAACGTTGAACTTCAACGTTTTGGGAAGAATTTAGCAGAATTACTACTTCTTCCTGCAGGTATGTCAAGTGAATTACGAACACCATAACTCCGGAAAACAATATTAGGCAGTAGTACATGAAGAACAATATTAGGCAGTAGTACATGAAGACGAAATTCCAAGTAGGAGCAACATGCTCTGCTGGATACCACCATTGGTCCACTAGCCAATTGAATACTACCGCGTTGTGAACTATAATGGCTAACGTTAAGAACAAATGTCGAGGATTTTTTGAATTCTTAACAACAACCTTTTTCTGATTCATGGAGAATGGAAGCTGGTTGGGCAAGCGTAGCAGAATCCAATAATGGAAAGTTACGATCGGAATATTTGAGGATGCGAGGGATTCATTGGTTGGCCAATGTAGAGCCGTAATAGCTTTTGGAACACTGGTAAAACGAATCTGCTTGTTGAACATACTTGTTTATTGATAAAGGTGACTACAAATTATTCATCAAATTTTGTAACCTTTTCGGATCTATACGCATCAAGGTTTGTAATAACCAAATCCAGAAAATACTTATAGTAAAATAGTTATAATCAATTAATGAGATAATATGCATGTGCATCCATGTATATAGCGTAAGCCCGACAGCTTAATATTTTTTAAAAACTAGAATCGTTTATTTGTTAAAATTTAGGGTTCGAATTCAAAATACTTTGTGCAATTTGTGCACTAAAAACGAGAGTTTACACGGGGTATTTATTACTGATGAAAAATTTATGCTGGGTGTAACGGTGGTCGGAGTGTTTTTCCCGTGCTTGTATTCATGTTGGCTGAATTCGTTGTGGTGCAGAACAAGCCAATGTAATCTGCTGCAAAAATCCATTGTATGGTTTGCAGGCTAGATTAAAATTAATAATTAATGGAATATCTCTTTCCAGATTATAATTAATAAATACGTCCGAATTTATGGGGATGAAATAAAGATTGGTTTTTAAAGATGAAAAGCAGTACTTGTACTGACTCTTATTCGACACGATTAATAAAACCCTAATCAATTAATCAATCAATATTGATAGTTAAACCCTTTGACGTACCAAGTCTTGAATAAATCAACCACGCAACTTATTAGATCGGTAGAAACTGTGTCCAGTTGTCATTTGCTTTTATTTCTAGTTACTTTCGAGGATAGTTTAAAATTGATCAAGTTGAAGTAGTCATATTTTGTTTATCTGTTTTTGAATAAATAACCGCGCTGGAGAAGAAATGATTTTTTTTTTCATTTCGCAATTATTCACAATATTGTTGCTAAAATTTTTATTTGTTTGACTTGTTGGAATATGTACCATATTGAGCCTAACTTTCAGCTAGTTTTTAATTCGGTATATGTAGTTTGTCCAATTTGCCTGAGTAATTAATGAAGTCACCCAATCACCTTGTAATATCTGCGATTAACCTGCATGCATATCTACATATGTACCCACATACATATGTACATAGTAAAATTTCACATTCATATTAATAAAATTACGCTCCAAGTCCCTTCGACACTTAATCTGCTGTTACCTTTTCATGCAGATCTTTATCACCATACGAATTGGCGATCAGGTGCCTTCGAGTTCATACATACATATGTGTATGTAAATATGTATACTTTGAAAAGTATGATAAATTGGTGTAAGTGTGTTTTACTGTGTGCATGGTAAAATACGTACATACAGATTTTTATTATGCACATATCTGTAATCACGTTGGCAACTACATAACCTGCTTATCCGCAAACATACGTACTCGGTTTGGGTGGATTCATGTGCAATTTTTAATATGCATACACAGGTATAAATGTATGGCATATCGGTAATCCATGAGTGTATGTATGTACAGTATGGAAAAAATATTGATTACCTATTGATTACGCTTATATAATTATTTGGGTTTGCAAACTCCTCGTTGTAGATACATTACATATTTATGTGTCACATATTATGTTAACCATACAAAATATCTAGCAGAAATATTTATACCACATACAATTTGTTTCGTACCAGCAGTAAATTTAAAGAAAGGTGACAGGATTTTGCCCTTAAAATAGATAATAACCAAGCTTTTCCGAAATCCTTGGAAATCTAAAAATATACATAAATTTCATACTCATTTTGAACCTCTAGTGCAGAGGTGGGCAATATACATGTATATTGAATATACAAGTATATTATATACAGTATATAATATACTTCTTGTATATTGTATATTGTATATAATTATTTTTACAAAAATGTATATTGTATATTGTATATTCGGCGAAAAACGGTTGGCTTAATATACAATATACATGTTGCGTCTTGCGCACAAAATTCGAGCGGGTCATTCATTTGATTAGGATTTTCATTCTTTGTTTCGTCATATTTATTTACTCAAATCGAAATTAAAATTCTGCATTTCGTTAAACCACACAATGTCAAATGCTAGTGAGTTTGATAGCTCTGATGTTCAGAGAATTTACCCTGTCATTTTAGATGGAACATTCTTTGTAGTTAAGTCGGTTGAGAACAATGGAAAAAGAATTTCAGCACAATGCAATCTTTGCTCGACTAACACCCTTATTACTGGCTCATTAGCTGCGACCGGAAATTTCGTAGTTCATTTGAAGGTAAGAAATTAAATAATTTTCCCGAATTCATCAAATATGTGTACATGATGTATGTAATATGTATGTACATATATACATATATGTATGTACATATTCGTTCTTGGAGTTCAAATAAATATACTCCAGTAATGTTGTATTGCATTTGCAACTTTCAGAGAAAGCACCCAGAGACAATTGAGGATTATGAAAGTCGTAAAAAGGTCCAGATTCCTGCAATTAAGAAGAAGAAGCACGATGAAAACGAACGAATTGCAAACGCACGTTGCGGTCAATCCACTTTAACAAATATTGTTTTCACAAAAGAAGTTGTGAAAAAACAATCAAGGACAACCAAATTGGACCAGCTCGTGCTAAATTTCATCGTGAAAGGAATGCATCCGTTGTCAACAATTGAGCAGCCTGCGTTTCAACAACTAGTAAAAGGTAAATCAACAATTAATTATAACCTGTTTTTTTCTGATATGGTTGTGTACAATTATGGAGCATTTTGATTTGCCTTGTTTTGCAACTTTGACATCAAAATTAACACTATTTATTTACTAGTGCTACCTAAAATGAATGATTAATATTACAGAATGTATATATAGACTATTATTTAAATTTATGTAGGATTGAATCCAGCGGCAAAGTTGGTTTCCAGAAGAATGCTGGGAAGACAAACAAATGACGAATTCCTTGCTGCCAAATCCAAACTCATTGCAAGAATTCAGCAAGTCAAATATTGTTGCATTACGAAGGACGCCTGGACTTGTAAAGGAATGAGTCGTGGATTTCTTGGGGTCACAATACACTGGGTAAAACATTTACTTATTTTTGGGTACTATATTTAACAATATCTGTATTTATATACTTACAAATTTTGTAAATACAGATTGATAGTGACTTGACCCGCTATTCAGCTGAATTAGCATGTTGCAGATTTAAAGGAACTCATTCCTACGACAACTAACTTAATCAATGACCTATCACAGAGTTCAAGCAGCAGTAAAATTTATGAAAATCAACAGTTATCCAAGGAAAGCGATGATTTTTTTGCTTTCTCTTCTTCTGCCAACGTGGCTCAAGGGTTGCACAATATTGAAAATAAAATACGACTACAAACCTGTCAATATTTGGACAACGAAGACGAAGGACTGGCAATGCTTCAGAAATACTCATCCGTTATGGGCTTATTCATTAAATATAATACGACGCTTCCATCATCAGGACCTGCTGAACAGATGTTTAACTATGCTGGAATGATACTATCTCCAAAGCGTAGAATTATGAGTGACTCATTGTTTGAGATGTTGATTGTTAAAGATGGTTTTGTTGAAAGTTAATAATTTGTAATCGAATATTATATTTGCTCTGGTTTTTATAAGTATATTGAATATACATGTATATTATCTGCAAATAAAATCCAGTATATTATATACGTATATTTGTATATTGTATATTTTAATTTTGTGGTATATTGTATATTGTATAGTATATTTTACATAAAATTTGCAGGGTTGGGTGATTAATTGATTTTTTGGATTAGGATTGGGGATTGGGGATTAAATTCTAGAATTTCGGGATTGAGATTGGGGATTGGGATTACTTAATCCTGATTTTTGTGATTAGATTAGGATTAATTGACAAGGTTTTAGAGTCGTGATTAGGGATTAGGGATTAAGTAATCATGATTAGTTTACTGATTGGTGATTAAAATCCGGATACTTTGCAATTGGAAGGTTTACATTAACAACACAAATTATATTATTAACAAATTATATTACTAACAAATTATATTATTAACAAATTATATTATTAACAACACAAATTATGAAATTTTAACTTGCGTGTGTCGGTCTGGTACAACTACCCTTTGCATGTGATGTAAAATTTGACGTTGGCCTTTTATTACAACTAATCACATTTTCAGTTGACTCGACTTTTCAGTCGTCTTTTACTGACTTTTGATCAAAAATTTCGCTTTAGAAGAATTACCCTGAAGTATAAATGGATACTCAATGGATACTCTTATAAATGGATACTCTTCGCTTGATAAATTCTGGACGTCGGTCATTTTTAATTATATATATTTTGAATCCAACTTCGTCAAAAATTAAATTTATTTGTCTGTGATGGATGATTACCCTCTCAAATCAGCCAGATTATTGTGTTTTCCACTTCTACAGACAAGATGGAGCAAAGTAATCCCGAAACTAATCATGATTAGCGGATTAGTTCTGGTAATTGCTGGATTAGAAATTAGGGATTGAATTAGAGACACCAAAATTTGGGATTGGTGATTAGGGATTGGTGATTATTTTACAAAAAAGTCAGGATTAGAATTAGGGATTGGGATTGAGTAATCCTAATCCCGATTAGTAATCATCTAATCACTAATCAGGATTGACCCAACCCTGAAAATTTGAGTATATTGGTAAAGTATATTCAATATACATTTGCGTGTATATTGCCCACCTCTGCTCTAGTGTTGACTCCTTTTTTTCTGAATGTCACTTGTGAAGTCAGGAAGTACTTAACTGAACGCTAAGGAGGATAACGGACGACCTTCGCAACGCAGGAATCACTTCATACTTTGTTTACTTATGCAAAATGTCCGTCCGAATTCGAAAATGACGATTATTAAGTTCCATGGGCCCTATGACCAGAGAATGATGATTTCAAAAATGGGACTAGTCGGCGGAGCAGCATCACTAAAGTTGCACTTCGGTCATGGAATAGCATAAATCTTACTAATACCACCCGTTATTCCAGTGCCACCATAGTGCAGTTGGTTAGGTGGCTGGGTTCAGAATTTTGTTGAATCCTAACTTGCGGGTTCGAATCCTGGCGGGGCCAGATATTTTTTTGTCACTTTTTTTTAGGATGAACAAGATTTTATTTTATATTTGCTTCATGATATGAAAAATCAACCAATTCATTGAGATCAACCCGTAAACTTGGATTTAATACAATAAATTTTATGGCTGCAATGTAAATATTTTTACAAATCTTTGTTGGTTTTGGTCAATCGAGTGAATAAAAAGTAATGGATATCTTAAGCTATCTTAACACGAATTGATGATGACCGTTAAACTTACCTTATAGTCAAGTATAGCTTGACCGTTAATAGAACTACACAATTTACTAACTACATAGAATATGTGACTATTATTTGGACGGAAATGGAGACTCTTCACAGAAATAAAAATGACTTTCAATCCATACGTGATGTATGCAAATACATTTTCTGCAATGCGAGAATTTCATGAACCTTTGTTTTTCACAATCGCGCACCTCACAAATTAAGCTGTCTGTATCGTTGAACGTAGAACAAACTTGCTTAATATTCTGAAATTCTACTTTTTCTGTGGTCAATCCTGCTGAATACCAAGCGTATTGAATCATGGGTTTCAATATTGGTGCAACTAATTGGAAATGCAGAAAAGAGTTTAATTACACCTTTGCGCGTGTTCCCATTATCTTTTTGATTCACTCCGTCAACGTTCAAATAAATTTCTAGCCCTGATAAAATTTCTCGTGCCAGGTTTTTCAATTGCCTGTGGAAGGTTGTATCGAGTGGTTGAGCGTGTGGGGTACATTTTTCGGGAATTATTTTTAGCAAAATTTCGGTATCATTCCATTCTCCAAAGTATTTTGTATAGGAATCAAAATTAGTGTGGCCTGCCCAAGAATCAACAATGTGTATAAATTTTTTGGGAGCGAATGAAACTAGTTGCTTCTCAATAAAATATTCATTCAATGAAGTAGATAATTTTCCGGACGTACTGCATGTTACAGTCACATTGCAAGGCAGGTATGAATTTACATCGGACTGAAATCGTGGACCGAATTTTCCACCAGGTTCTTGCAAGCAGACAAAAACGTTTCCAATTATATATCCTGCCATGCGTATAATATATTGGACCGTATAGCTGTGTGTGGCCAAATTTTTTGGCGATTGAGAATAACCAAACACAATTTTTTCGTTTTTGTTGGTAAGCGTTCGAGCTGACGTTAGCTCATACTGGAAACCGCACTGATCTGTGTTGAATATCTGGTCCTTATCATAATTTTGAGAAAGCTTGATAATTTCAGCTTGAAATTTTTTGGCAGCCTCCAAAATCTCATGCCCACTCTTAACCTCGCGTTTGCTGACAAGCTGCGTAATCTTTCTCGACGATATCCTGTTCCGTTTCTTGAATTTATCCAGCCAAGACGAAGTCGCTTTGAATTTTAATGATAAATCATTGATTTCCAAGTATTTTTGAATTGGGAATTGACGCAAATGAGACGAGCGAAGAATCTTGAACGACTTTCTAGCTTCAAGGAATTCATTGTACACATGAGCATTTATATCTTGCATTTTTTCACGTTTATTTTGACCTTTCCGAACTTGTGATTGCCAGCCGTAAAGGGTCCTCTGGTTGGGAACTTCAGGGCATCCATTCTTCTTTAACGTATCCCATTTCCAGCTAGGATGTGTATCCCAAAGTTCAATTATTTCAATTTTTCTTTCTTTGGAAATCGTATCGCGTTTTTTCTTCTTAACTGGAGAGTTATATTCATAATCGCTCCCATCGTTTGAAGGACATGATTTATCATCGGAAGGTGATTGAGTCACAAAACTATCTGGCGCACCTAAAAAAATATAGTTAATAAAATAGATTTATATGTATTACTAGGAACATGCAAATTATTACTCATTAATGTTTTGGTTTCATCATTTTCTGCCACATATTCTTGGAGGTTCACGAGATACGAATCGAAAAGTTGAGCTGCAAATAATTTCTCTAACCCCGTCGACTTTGTAACCTAAAGAAAATTGGGATTATTGTTTTTCAAAATGAAACATATATGTATCTGCATATAACTAAAGAATTTTTTAATATGAATTGTAATAACATTTTTGTATTCTTTCCCATATCTCGCTTGAGCTATTTCCGTAAATTCTAATAAAATTCCAAATGGATTTGGGCTGGGATCTTCAAGATGATCTGTACAATGTATTAGGCTCAAATTTATCATGTTTACGTCAGACACTGTATAAAAAGTACAAATTCAAAATAGTAATTTTGCGTACCATCCAGCGAAATCCCAGAGTCGTCCATTTCGGTTTCAAATCAACAAAAAATTCGATACAAGAGTAGCAAATTAATTATTTTTAAACTATAGAAGTTAATGACACAGTTTTCAGTTTGATCAGGTGATTGTAAAAAAGTGCAAAAATATCTTGCCCCGCTAGCCAGGATTCGAACCCGCAAGTTAGGATTCAACAAAATTCTGAACCCAGCCCAATTAGACAACATGGGGCAACGTGAGATTCATGAAAAATGTATCCCCGAAACAGTCGATAACTTTTTCATGAATCTCCATTTGCCCCATATTGTCTAATTTCCATGACGTTCATAACGTCAGCTACGTAGCCCACGGAGTGAGCGTGGATAGAGATATCTCTGTAACCTGGATAGCTTGCATCGAGAAACTCCTGGATCTTATAGTCGGCTGAGAGTAGCATGAGATCCAATACTCATCAACCTTCAGAGTGCGTCGCAACAAGGTCAAAAATAGGCCCAAAGGTCGTATATGGAGAAACTTTATCCCACAATATCTCCGAAACTATGTCGAATTTCGACAAAATGATATCGATAGTTTTGTCTTATAAAATTGAGAGGAATCCAACACCATCAACAGTTTCCATCTATATCATGAGGGGGAGGCTGGGGAGAAAACTCCTCCCCCTGTGGGCGTGGTGGTTTAAAACATATATTTTAGCTGTTACTTTACCTCACATGTTCTTCATATCATAAAAGATTTCAAATTACACAGCGTTTTAATTTTGGCAATGATTTATAATTTTCCAACCGTTGTGCGCTGTCTTGTAAAGTGACTATTGCATCACGTCTCCGTTCCACCTTCCGCATTCCAAGAATAAAAATTTCAGGATAATGAAAAAAATCACACTTGTTCCATGATGTTTGGGTTTGCTAATCGTCAAATTTGAATAAAATCTGTTCACCTGTTCTGAAAATATAGGGGTCCAAACTTTGTATTCGAACTTATGGGCAACCCTGTATGTACATTGTTCGGTTGGTCCGCCGTAACATGCAAAGGTTATAAAATTACATACAATACAACAATACACACTTTAAGTGATTGAATTTAACGAAAATGGGTTAGGTTAGAAGTGTTGGTGGTTATTTCCGTACAACGGATGTTGGGAGCAGAATTTACGGCCGGAAGTCATAATTAAACGCAAATTACAAGTTCGAAAAATTGATGTTATACATATGTACGTACATAATATATTAAATAAATCATCGCGTGTCGTTATGTAAAATCCACTACATTAATCGCCTCCGACCGAGAAACTGTGTGAAGTGTGACGACAAAAGAATTTGTGGAAATCATATAAAAATTTAAAGACAACCAAACAGACAATAAGTGCAGTGGGCCATGGAGTAGTAGAAGAATTTTGATTTGGATGTGACGAAGTGCAGTTGGAACTTTGAACTCTGTTCATCTTACTTACAATGCGAAGCCGTGAAGTGGAATGCTCAAATTTTAATCGGACCAACTTTATTTTGTAGTTTAACTAATAATATTGGACATATGTTTCGGCATTTTCGATAATGCTCAGTTTCTGATCCGTAATTCGACCCAAAAGTTGAAAAATGGTGATTTTCTCCGTGCCAGGTCAAATGCCATCCCGTCCGATTCTCTCCCTTTCTCGCCCACTTCATTCTCTTTCTCTCGCTTCGAATCATTGACCAAAATTTTCATCTTGAATTATTTTTATTGCAATTTCTTTAAATTACATATGTACCTTAATTATTATCATTCTGCCTATTAATTATTTTTAATTCAGAAATTTAGATGTCACCCATAATTGTGGATAATAATAAATTTTCGTTATAATATAAATTAATTTCATTGTACTTAAACTATGTACCTAGTATACTCAAAACTAGTGAAACACGTTCAAACCGCTTTAAAAAATATAGTTTATTGAAGACGGAAAAAATAACTACAACACAAGAAAGCCCATTACATTTTGTACAAGCTACGATAATCAGTTTTGAAAATGTCCTCCATTATCGGCGACGCGCGCCTTCAGTCTGGCTACCAACTGCTCGATCGCGGTACGCACGCGTTCCAGCGAATGCTCATTCCATTTCTTGGTCAGTGATTTTTTGAGAAAATCTAAGCTCTTGTGTGGTGTAGCATATGCATCTGGCTCCAATTTAGACCATATATCATAGTCCTGAGGAATTTAGCTCCGCATGGGGCTTTGAGGCCGCCCATGCGAGCTACATAAATTCCGCAGCAGAAATGGAGTCCAAAATTTACCTCTGTAACCACGTTATCGCGGTTCTGGAGTCGTCTGCTGGTGCTTTGCTTCGTTAGAAGTCCAACCAACGTTTTCACGTATATAAATATTAACAGAAATTTACCTTATCATCATCAGTATCGTAGATGCAATATATCGTCGGAGTTTGGACCTGGACTGAAAAAAATCGTGATTTTCCTCCAAAGCCAACTTTTTTCAGGCAAAAAAATCATGTAAACTGGAAGGTGGCTAGGATTAACATTATTGTATCTTTTTAGGATCTACGAGACTTGTCGGCAATAAATTATGCCCTCGTGGAAATTTAGTAATAGTCAGTAGTGGAAATCTGCTCGTGTGAAAAGTGAATAACTTTTCAACTTTCATACGCGTACCGCCACATTAGCCCCCGAGTTGTTGCAAGTTTGGTTTTGTTATGCGTGGTCGTCAGCAAAAACTGGTTATAGTGTTTTGGGGCCTTATGTCCAGAGTTATTTTTGTCCCACTGTGAATCGCCTCCTTCGACAAGTACACTTGCAGTGACAAATTCTTTCGAATCCGGCGTGGATTTTCAGAAATGCCGTTTTTCGAGGCTCTCAAGAGTTGTGGTGACCTCTGTGACCTCAGCCGGTCAATTATTTTCTTGTCGCTTGTACTACAGGCCTAATTGTATCGTATGATGGTACAATGGATAAGACTGGGGCAAATTCCGGTGTTTTTCAGAATTTCGAAAATCTCAGAATTTGTCTTTCCATTCAGATGATGATGCGGAATAGCGTGTCGCTTTATTTCAAGATCTGCCATTCTGTGTCCTTTATCTCAATCACATTGAAAATTTCAGTTTCTGTAGATAATCGCACGTAGATTTGAATAAAAAAAATAAATTAGCTTGCCCAAAAATTCCTATCAGCTGTTTTTTTGCCTGTTTCACTACTTTTGAGGCTAATAAGTCTATCATAAAATTATGCACCCAGATTAATTTGGTCTTTTCATCTATTAATATGGCTTCTAAATTTGACTTTTATTTTATTGATGCTCAAATATCCTAATCAGACAGCGAATTAATACAATTCATTGAAGCAATAAGTAATAATTAGAATGATGACAATAATTTAAAGAAATTGCAATAAAAATGATTCAAGATTAAAATTTCGGTCAATGATTCGAAGCAAGAGAAAAAGAATGAAGTGAGAGAGAAAGGGAGAGAATAGGACGTTAGAGCATTTGATCTGGCACGGAGAAAATGAGCATTTTTCAACTTTGAGGTCAAATTACGGATCAGAAATTGAGCATTATCGAAAACGCCGAAACATATGTCCAATATTATTAGTGAAACTACAAAATAAAGTTGGTCGGATTAAAATTTGAGCGTGCCACTTCACGGCTTCGCATTATTAGTATGTCCCGATATCTTTTATTGCATGCGGAAAACGTTTTAAAGAAAAATAATGTATCATATGACCATTTACGATTTTCTTACACCCACAGGAATTTCTCGGAAAGAGCATGCCGATGGATCTAAAAGCGCAACCGCGGCCACAATAAAAAAACTTGGACATACATAAAAAAACATATGTATATTTTTATTGAGTATGTATACTTATTGTGCTTTGGATCGACATGTTCTGTTGCGTTTTTACGAATTCAAATTCCTCCACGTCGAAAGTTTGTAATACTTAAATTTTCGGATGTATTTCGTCGGTCAAAGACGTGTTTGGAAATTTACGGAAAACATTTTAAATCAAGATAAAATATACAGTTTTTAACTATAAATTTTGGACTATACAAACATTAGTTAAAGTCTCGAAATATTCTGGGGATCGATCCCAATCCATTTCTCGTCATTCAAATCAATTTCTTACAAATACATGACCATCTCGATTTTTAACTAAGCAATAAATTTTAGGCGAGTTGAGAAAACTGAGACGGTTACTTTCATAACTGTTTGGCCAAACATTTATGCGTATCAACAGTTTGCCAACTGGGATAACTAAAATCAGTAGTTACGTAAAACCTTGACCGGTGGGATACGAGTCAGGCTGGTCTCCTCATGCTACTATTTAACACGACACGAGGCGAACTTTGTACTTGCGTCAGACCAGACAACAACTAACGCTTAGTTTGAATCGAACCTTGCATCCAGTTCAGTACTCAAAACAGAATAACATTTAAGTAAATACTTATTGAACTAAGGAGGAGGGGACCTCTACCCCTCACCACCAGATTTTGATCTCCTTTAGATATGTGGTAGTTCCCCATGAGTCTACCAAAACCCTGAAGTGGTTTTATTCCATGGCCCCATTTGCCGCACCCCCTCAAAGGGGAAAGATATAGAAAAATCAACATTTTCAAAGGCTCGCCAAAAATCCAATTTTGCTTGAATTTTAAAATTTCTTGCACTATTGTGATCCGAAATAGTTGCTTTATCATATCCGATATCAAACTCGGCTGTTTTAAATTTTTTAATATTTTCCAAAATTTCCTGACCAAGGGTATGTCTTCGAAAAAATCAAAATTTTTACAAAGTTGAGTTTGATATCGGGTATGATAGAGCAACTATCTGGGACTATTGTAATGCAAAAAATTTCAAAGTCGGATGAAAATTGGATTTTTGGTGAAGGTTTTTACGAACGAAAACAGGGCTTTTTTAGTGTTTTTCAAGCCTTTGTGGGAGTGTGGCGGACGCAAATGGGGCCATGGAATAAAACCACTTCAGGGTTTTGGTAGACTCATGGGGCCCTACCACATATCCAAAGGGGATCAAAATCTGGTGGCGAGGGGTAGAGGTCCCCCCCTCCTAAGCCTGACCGAATGTACGTATGTACAGACACACATACATACATATGTAGATATTGCACACGTACATACCTATCAACATCTGTGTATAGCTTCAATTTATTGCCTGTACATACAGTTTCTATTGATGGCTGTATAGGAATGCCTCATTTTTATTCTTTCGTCTGGTGACCTGGGGGTTAAGAGAGATTAATTTCTCTTAACTCAAACTTTTCGTCGTATTGTGCAACTTGCCAAATGCAGACGAACACATTGATCCATTTGTATTCTAAATGTACGTATTATATCAAAACGTGTATGCTATTTTAATTGTACAATTTTGTGTACCGTGTCTCATCCTGTATTTATATAAAATGCTGGCTACGTACGTATATATACATAAATACATACATTCATCTTGCGCAAAAGAGTTGCGAAATGTGTACTTTTGTGTAATAAAATACCACTCCTTTCCAGAAAGAAGCTCAGTCAAGACAAAGACAATCGACTAAGGAGGACATTTCTCTGCTAAAGTGATTTTTGGGTTTGAGGTTGGATTTAAAATGTAATAAAACCTAGCTTATTTTCATATTTTGGCATTTTCCCTGTCAACTTTTTTGGGTCTAAATATTAAACTTTATTTCACAGGAAATTACTCCACGTCGTTATTTTACTGGGGGTGAGTTTCTTGGGGTTTAGCTGGTCGGTGTGCCAGGCTCAATCGACTACCCAGTCGACTACCTGTGTGGTGGGCGATCCAGACAGGGTGAGATTTTTTTCTTTGCTGAGCATGGAAATATTTAGAAGATATGTTTCTAATTTCTAGTATAATTTTTTAATGAAAGGCATTTTTAAGTCGGAAATATGTCATTTCATGATGTGGTTTTCTCCATCATATTTCTATTTTCTGGTGGGGGAATTAATTTTATACGTGTGGGTTATATGGCAGTTTGTCTCGAAACGAATGGTGGGTGGAAATTTAAAGAAAGGAAATTTAAAGAAATATGAATCAACAAGCAGTAATTTTTGGTAGATAGTTTCTTCATGTACATATGTTTTTTAATTTCTGATTTCAACCCCCAGGGCTTACGGGATATTACATACTTTTTATGCTGCACGGTTTAGTGTCAAAAATGTATTATTTTAGGTGTAATTTTGTCACAATTCATATATGTATGTATGCAATTCAGTCTAACTAAACTTAAAGCATTTTAACCTTTTTCATAATTCTCAACTTTGCAACTGTACAATTTCAACAAATTAAATAAATTAGTAGATAAATCGTGACAAGACAAGGATCTCAGTGTAAATATATTTCGAATGAGCGGGCTTTGGGATGTGTCTAGATTGTTGCGTGACCTTACAATTTTCTTATTTACTTTTAAGCCAGCACATTTTTAGTGCATAGCACAAATATGAAAGGTAAAACCTTCTTTTAAAAACAAACTTAGGCGAGGCCACTTGGTCATAATTCTATTCATTACATTTCTGTATTACCTGTGACCAAATTACATGTAGTTTGAAAGTTTAGGAAGGATTTTAAATGGATTATGAGAGGATTCTCAAGCCAATTTATTTGACCGGAATATGAAATCTCTTCAACAAGATCTCACCTATTGCTTTTGACACCATTAGTCGCCAGATTCTTGTCCCCCGTTTTACGAAGCGATGTCTAAACGTATACTTAGGTTTCGCCGTTACCAGGCGTCTGGAACAATATATGTGTAGTCATGGTTAGCTAGCCTGACCCAAGAAAAACTTTGACACCCTTTGGACGAATAATATAAATGCATACGTTTAAATTTCAGTGCCCCCCTCGTGGCGGTTGCGGGAGTGAAAACTTTTCGTGCCCGAATGGCGGGCCCTTGTGTAATAGAACGTCGCACTGTTGTCAGTGCGTTACAAACCAGGTGATCACACTAATCCTAAGACTATTGACTATCAGGAACATTAATATGGTCAAAATAGATTTTTTAATTGACTACAGTTTTTTTGGTTTCCAACAGTGTCAAGATACGGCTGGCTGTAACTGGATGTATTGTCCGGATGGGGAAACTCCTAATTGTATTCTCAAGAGGGAGGGGACACAGTGCGTCTGTATTAATGCTAATTACGTAAGCCAACAGCAACTCTATGAAATAAATCAAGCTTATTTGCTTTATATTGACTAGTGCTCTCCAAGTAATGACCGAGAATGCCCGCAAGACAAATTTCCTCGCAACAGTGTTGCAAATTATGACAGGAATTGCAGTCAGGACGGATCACAAGTTGCAAGGCTATGTCGAGCTGACAGATATAGAGAAGAGTGCATCTGTTCTCAAGCGGTGAGTGAAACAGTTTATTGTTTATATATATTTGGGCAGCGTGGTTGGAAAAGAATATCTTGCACATAAATAGAGAGTAATTTTTTACTGATGCACTTAAACAAATATTTAACTGACTGGAGAGATACCAAGCGAAATGTTACATAATTCTACTTTCCATATTCAGCGAGCGAGAGAGCGAAAAAAAATTGATTTTTTGGGTATCCAGAGGATATAACCACCACCACTCTTACGACATTGCCGTATGAGATTCGCCTCATATGGTACGGAAATTTTCGAGCGGATTTCATCCGTTTTCAACCATTTTATCATGAATTCTGATTTCTGATAAGCTAAAGTTTTGAATTTCGAGCGAAAATGTGACATTTCGCATCTCATTTTTGACTGACTGTTACGGCCCTTGCCCTAATACGCCACTCCTTCAGAAACTCTGACCCCAAAAAAAGTCACGGTTCCAGTTATTTGGTGCCTTCGCCCTTTGCACCCGGATAACAAAAGCTGAGAATGTTTCTCTTACTTTGGAGAATATTCTGGCATCTGATTGTCAACCTGTAAATGACTGGAATCGTGATTTTTTCAGTGATTTTTGTGTTGGGCAGAAACCCGCGAATTTTCAAATTTTGAAACTTTGAATGGATCAAAATGTTTGTATTCAAGGGGGAATTAAAAAACCGAATGGATGTATAGGTCTAATTCTTGTTTCGCCGAGTGTGTGTTGGATTTCTCATTTTTCCCAAATTCCTTTCACCATTTCTGAAGGGGGGGGGGTGATTACATATGTCAAAAAATTACTACGTCACACATATCCTTGAACCCAGAATTTTATTTGCTTGAATTTTTTTATATTTAATTCTATGACATGGATGCGAAACAGATTTTCCCCTTAGGTTTGGTACCTCTCACCAGCTCCCATCCTATGTAAAGGGTGTATCAAAAGTTCGCAAACATCGATTTTTAGGGGCGAGTCCGAGACAAAATCAGTTATAATTATTGAGCCAGTAGAGGTTTTGAAGTGAAATTTTTACCACGCATAGAACTAAGATATATCTTAGTCATAAGCATCCTCGACTTAAGATACAAACTTCGGATGAACAGACATTCAAGGTGAAAAAAATTGCAGAGAAATTGGAATGTTCACGGTCAACTGCTCGGAACTGGAAGAATAGAAATTTTGTCAAGGGAAACAGGGTACCTGAATAAACCACAAGGGTACAATCTGTTATGAAATCAAGTAAAAATCTTACATTTTGCTCGGAAACTGGAAATTAAGTGCCAATTTGAACATAGAAGTGAAAAACTCCGAAAAGCTTAAGGCTAAAATTGAGCATTACCAGTCCATCCGGTTATCAAAAATGGTTATGTCGGCAGAATTTGATGAAATGACTTGTCCAGGGATCAACAAAAATCACTTATCCCAAATAAATCCTGATTTTCCTCTTCAATGTGCGGAAATGCTGCTGAAAACCAGGAATTTGACAAGGTCGAAAATTGGATCGCCGTATCCTTAAGCCTGATGAATTTCGGATGAATTTGTATCATTACTGATACCGATAAAATTGACGGTAAAGAACCGCAAAAAAAATCTGACCTCACATTACTGTGTGTCCTGGATTTTATGTTCAAAGTTATGCTACCAGGTGTTTTGAGCTCGTGTTGTGACACCTCTGGATATTATGGAAAGGTCAGGATATATGACCGCAATGTGACCTACTTAGTTTGACAGCTTAATGATCAGGGTTGTATTTCCGAATGAGAGAAAAATTATTTTCTAACTAGCGTGACGGTACAGCTCAGATAAAAAAAACCACATGCTGATATTACAGCAAGGAACTTTAATCTTCTCAGGCGAATGGGTGTGGCCCGATAAAAATCTAGATTTGTGTTTTTTGGGGAACACATAGTAAATACCTGAGGAGGAGATATATAACGATCCAGAGCCAAAGGGAAGTGATGAGTAAATAACAAAAGTTCGAGAGAAGTGAAATTCTATAGCAATTTCTACTTTTGAAAAATTAGCTCAAAGTCTAAAACAAAGAGTTGAGGACATGATTGAAGTCAATGGTCGAAAGACCAAATACTGAGGTATGTCTGGTAAAAAAATCGGCTTCGTAACTTTTACAGTTTTTTAATAGCAAGCTTTCAAACTTTTTTAGGTAAACGGTTTGCGAACTTTTGATACACTCTTTATGTATCTAGTTATTCGTCACGGTCCAGCGTGTTGCCCAAAAAGTCAGTTCCCTTTCAATAAGACCTAAGAGTGCTGAAGGCTGTCAGGTTTTCAAAATGCTAATTAGAACAAATTCAGCGAAATATACGTTTGAGTTATCCTTACCCCCACTTACAAGGGAGCTATCCGAGGTGTCAAGCGAAATGGGCGCTAACAAAATACCCAAATATTCACAAAATATTACTGATTCAACGACCTAAAGGAACTTTCATGTCAATTTTACTTTTAGTCAAATAACGATATTTGTGACGAGCAAAGTACCTTCGAGCGAATCAAAGCAGGGCTTGCCGGTCGACCGTTCTAGCCTTCCTCGTCATCTTTATCAGAAACTTCCTGCCTGAAAAACGTTCTCTAAATTTTGCCCAATTTTTTAAATCTTTGAATTTCAAAATTTTGAACATTTTACAAAAAACAGAATAGAAAATTTTCAAAATTCTACAAAAATTTTTAAAACTTACTCATTTTTTTAATTGCAAAATTTGGAATTGTAGGTAAAATTTTGCAAAATTTCAAAATTCATCTATCTACTGATTTTCTACTGTATGTAAAATTGTCAGAATCTGAAATCCTTTAGGCAATAAATATATGTAAGTGTTAAAAACGAAATGGCTTTCTAGGATGATACATTTCACCAAGGGTCGAGGAAAGCTAGAACCTTCGAATGAGTCTGCTTGTCGAGGCTTTGAGGTCCTTCTCTCGTCACAAGTATCGTCGCAACTTGATGGTATATGAATTTGAGGCGGAAACTCCTTCAGTTTGTTCAATTAGTGATGTATTGTAAACGGTGCTAGTATTGTCGCCGATCTCTAACTCGTTGGATAACTGGATAGACCTAGACTTTGGTTCCTTGTTTGACCAAATTTGAGAGTAGTGGGCTCCATGTGGATAGCAACCATTGTACATTGTTATGAATGCCATCATTGCGTTTTGCTTGTTACCTTCTAAAGTACGTTTTACATCCACATTTTTAATTACAATTTCAGTGCGCAACAGAAGCTGGTTGCCAACGCTCAAGTTTGTCGTGCTCAAGTTTCTTGTACCCTACTGACAAACCATTTTGCAACTTTACATCGAATAACTGTCAATGTGCTAGGAATAAGGTAACCTTCCTAGAATGACTTATTTCTACATATGAAAATCTTGTGGTGAAAAACCCTTCATCAAATTGTCTAGCTACTTTTGTCGAATTTATAAGTGTCGGAATACGAATGACTGCAGTATGTCCTGTCCGGTAGGAAAGACGGCAAGTTGTATTCTCAAAAAGCTTGGATCGGAATGCGTCTGCATTGACGATAATTATGTGAGTCAACACTACAAGATTAAAAAAATTCATTAACTCTATAAAATTGATTAACTCTATAAAAGTGCACAACAAACGGGACAGAATTATGCCCTTTCGCAATGTTCAGTGGCGCAAGTTTTGCAACGTATCACAGGTATTGCTCAGATAACCAATCTCGAATTCCCAGGCTTTGTAGGGCTGATAGAAATCGGGAAGAATGTAATTGTGCTCCAGGGGTAAGCAAATTATATTAAAAGTTCAACTTGTACAATGATTAGAACTTATTTAATAGGGATAATGCTATGCTATTTTCATTCACATAGTGTTACTACACCTCCGATTGTGATGATGGAACACAAGCGACTTGCGATACAGGAATGCATATAGAATGTATAAACACCACGTGTATGTGTCATAAAGAGGTTTGTGAGTAGGCTGCAGATTCATAAATGCCAAAAAAATAATTTACTAATTTCACGATTTTTGCTTACAGTGCTCAGATGCTTCAGACTGCACATGTAGCGGTTCTAAGATAGCCCGTTGTAATTGGGATGGTAGTTGTTCTTGCGAGACTATGGTACGATTGGTGATAAATACTTGGCAATTCCGCTTCACGCATTATAATTAAACACTTAACTGAATACCAACTATAACAAAAATAACTATACTTGAATATTATGAGATTAACTAGAAGGGTTTGGTACATGGAGACTCGCAGATTCCCCCAAGATTTTTGTATCTGATAGACTTTGTTAAACGGATTTAGTTTGTAAATTTTTTCGATTCATGGTCTACTCGCACATTCCGCACCGGATATTTCAGTGTTCTTTCTACTTTGGAAAGGCGCGGCTCGCGTGATTATGCCCAGTGAATCCAAGTATTTTATTTTACTTTTTTGTTCAACTATGTCCTTCAGCAATAAAATTCCAGATGGAATCTGCGAGTAACCATTCCGTGAACTATTTTCTTAAGTGAAATGATTAGTAATATTACTCCCAGTGTCAATCTAATGAAGAGTGCACAGCTCACCGAAAATGTCCTCCTGGTAGGCGAAGCTGGTGCTCAGTAGATCGTGTGTGCTCGCCCTGTCGTTTGGAGGTATGTTCTATACTGTACTTTCAAGTCGATCACACGTTTCTGCATGGTTAAAAAAAGTAGAAACATTTTTATGGCGATTTAAAAATATATTTACAAAATTGTATTTTTAGTGCAATGCAGACCTTGACTGTTTTCGGGCAAACTGTTCAGCAAATACGCCGTACAAAAAATGTATCAACCACCATTGCGAGTGCTTGCAGGTAAATAACTGTCATTATGTAATTCTCATTTGCGCACGCACAAAATTATGTCATTAGCACACCAAGTCCATGGTTCTAGGGCGCTTTAATTTAAACGGTTATGTCACTATGCGTCCTTCTTACACTGCTTTAAGTATTTACATATTTGTAATTCCATGTGTCTATCTTATTTACATATGTATGTATGCACAGATGTCAATCTGAAAACTTATGATTAACTGACTTTGGATTGGTGGAACACGTGGATTTGATATTTATTACATAAATACGTGTACTCCAGCAATAAATAGGCGTCATTATAATTATCCAGCTTCATGGGAATGTAAAATCCGAAAGCGTTAACGGAATTTATAAAATTTTATGCTACTGAGGAAGTATTTTATTTCTCCTCAATTTGGATCACCATTTTCCACGGGCCGAGCTGTCTGATTAAACAGTTTTGCGGTCGGGATTAAGGATTAAAGATTAATTAATCCGGATTTGGTTATTAAGATTAAATTTGACAAAATAAATTTCCTCGTAGTTAATTTTTTCTGGATCAAACAGGCGTTTTGCGAGTTGTGTGGATTAAGGATTGCGGATTAATTAATCACGATTAATTTGGTGATTAAACATTTAAACAAATTTGATTTTCGTTTAGATTGTCAGCAGAGGCAGTTTAGATCATATGAATTTTCTATTATCAGTACATACTCACGATTATTTAATCACCCAGCAATGTCCTCGGGTGACAACGGCAAAAGTCTCCCCTATTTTCATAAAATCGTCAGTAATTAAATTTAAAACAAATATCTTTGGAGCCGATTAACTGCTCTAGAACACCTGCTTGAAATTACTGCACAAAAATTTTTAAAGTGGTAAAAACAGGTGTAAAAAATCCGGGTAACACAAAACGCACAAAAATTATTTTACCGCAAAACATATAGAATGATGTTATATACATAGTCGGTCCATATATAGTGTTAGTAAAATAAATGGTCATAAGTTTATGGTTGTCAGGAATTTGATATTTATTTTCCCGCCATTGAGAAGCCAGTTAAATTTCGAATAGAAAACATGTATCAGGCTTCAAAATCTCCTCCCCCTGCGTCAATGCATTGCTGCAGACGAGAACGCCAAGCCGCAATGGAATTACGCATGCCATCCATCGACAACTCGTCCTATTCCCAGAGTAGATTTTTTAGGTCCTCGACACTTTCATGGGGCTTAGAACAGACCTTCTCCTGAAGTTTAGTCCATATTTCATGGTCCAGTGGATTCAGATCCGAGGATGCTGAGGACCAATATGCAGTTATAAAGTCGGGTCGGGCCGGGCCGGGCTCTCAATAAAGCCTGAAAAGCCGGGTCAGGCTTTTGCTCATACTTGAAAAGTCGGGCTGGGCCGAGCCGGGCTTTCGTTTCTTGGGTCCATACACATCTTTAATTGTTAAAAAAGTTGTAGTTTCTACTGCACATTTAATGCACAATTCCAATTTAGAAAAGATATTTTCTTCAATTTATAACTTTTTAAGTTATTTGAAATTTTCCGTCAATTTATGAAATTAACATCAAAAACTTATTCCCAAACGGCCAACACATCCTACGACGTCCTAAAGGGATCCTTACGATCTCCCAATGTCCGCCAAAATGATGTCTTTTGGACGTCTACTATCTTATATAACATTGGAACGTCCAAAAGACATCATTTTGGCGGACATTAGGAGATCGTAAGGATCCCTTTAGGACGTCGTAGGATGTGTTGGCCGTTTGGGTTCGTACCTTTAGGCATAAAGGCAAGGAAATCATCGAATTTTAACATTTTTCCAATACTTGGTTGACGCTCCGTTGGATGCAATAATGGCAGAAATCAAGTCTCTTCATCAATTCCACAAGTTTGTTTCGTCACATTTTCAGACGATATTCTCCCGTTCCTCCCTTCGGTAGTATCCTCAAAGATGTACTCCTGCTGATCACTTTTTTCCAGTTCGAACCATAAATTCCCAATCGGATTTATATCTGGAAACGTTTCAACCCCCGGAAGAAGTTTTGTTTTCTCTTTGGCCAAGAATTCCATGGTCAAGTTGGCCATGTACTTCGGGGCGTTGCTTTGTGGTAAGACAAACTTCCTTACAAGTCCATATTTTCTTTTAAAATCCTTATGTACACCAGTTTGGTCAAGATTCATCGACTATGATCAAGTTTCCAACACCTGCACAAGACAGTGAACCAAAACCCATAATCGACCTTCCATCGTATTTTACATTGGGGCGAGGGAATTTTCTTTTGTGGGTGTCGGGTGCCTGCACACAGACTTTGACCATCCCAGCCGTTCTAAATAAGCAGAATTTGCTCCCATCAGCCCGGTGAACTTTTTTCGAGTTGGTTTGAGTCCACGTTGCATCATTCTTGGCCCGTTATGATCTCTTGTATTCATTCGTTTAGAAATACATGGCTTCCATCTTGCGATTTGAGCTTAAAACCCAGCTGGATTGATTCGGTTCATAACTGTTTGACCTGAAATGTGAACTCCATAATTGGTCATCAGAAGTGGTTTGGGGCGCAGAATCCTATCCGGTTCCGGGGAATGCTTGTTTGATGGACCGCTCAGCTCGTCGTGACGTCGACTTTCTCCGTCCGGATTGTTGCAAATTTCCAATCGTACCTGTCTTTTTGATTTTTGTACCACAAACTGAATGGTCGATGGGCCGAAGTCAGTTTTCTCCCGTATTTCTTGTATCCAAGTCCTTTCGACAGGAGACAAATTCTTTGTTGTCATTCTGCATGGCATTATTCTCTCGGTTTCGCCAAATCAAATTTTCCAGGTATGTATAATAGTGAGTGCATTTCAATAACATTGAAGTATATTTGAGATTAATAAACTTGCCTTTTCATAAACAAACCAAATTGTTACGAAAGACACCATAATTAATCTTTGAAACTTAATTTAAGCAATGGGTACGAATACTCATTTGGGGTTCTTTTATGATTTTGGCTCACGGAAATGAGCAGAAATATATGGTTCCATGGTTTTAAGTGGAGTCTAAATTAGTATGTCAAAATGTGCTAAATTTATGACATAAATTACAATTTTCATGATAATGAAAATTTGAATGAGGAAGCTATAATGATTTGAAGCGGAGATGTGTGGGGTATACTAATAAATACTGGGTTGACAGTATTTTGTGCATTTGTCATGCACAAAAGTAATATAATGTGCACACAAAAACAGATAACTATTTAAAACTGTAGTACGTAGTACACATTAATTTGGGGAACCAATAAACCAATCTACATGTTGGGTAACATATTTCTTATACGAAAGTACATACTTGGCGTAAGTGTTAGGATTGCTACTTAAATTGAGGCTTCCGTCAATTGAGTGATTTAACAAATTCATAAACCTTTAATTGCAGTGTATGGCTGACTCTGACTGTGCCTCCCATACCTGCCCAACAAGTACCCCGTACAAGGTATGTTCCGGAAACACTTGCCGTTGTATTCAGGTAAGTAGTTATGATGATTCTAACCGATTAAATGAAGCAATGTGATTAAATCCTATCAAATTATTCCCATATCGCCCAAACTTTGCTGAGGCTAAACTGTAAAAAGTAAATGAGAGCACGTACGCAGAGCTGAAACCAAATAATTGTTTATAATCTTGAAATTAGAAAATAATTGATTCAATCGGTGTAGGCGAATCTTGAACAATATGTATCTTGCTTTTCATGTAGTAATTTTACGTATTTCTCACTTGTAATTATTTCTGCTGTGTGAGTTCTCTTTTTACTTCGTTTATTTTCTTTGGGTGATGTCACCGTTTGACTGTGAAGTTCATCCAATGGGACACTTGTAGCATTTGCAGGGTAGCAAGTGATATAAACCATTTTCCTCAGGACAATGGAAAAAAATGGGAAAAATTCAATTTTTACCACCCACTTAAATCAGTTGGAATCGGGGGAAATTGGGAAATTTGTTAGTTCTTATGCAAATAGCGCTAGGTGGTGCTAGTTTTTCCAATTTTTTCCACTTTTTCCCATTTCCCAGAGGTAAAAAATATTTTGGACGGTCAATAAAATATTTTGGGTGCGAAATATGCAACCCTGATGTTATATAATAAATTTTGTCGGGAACAATGAAATGCCCAGGAAATACATAAACCACCCACATACATAATCTCATACAAAAATTGTGAAAGATTACAAATATGTATGTGTATACATATGTATGCATGGCGTTGATAGTTACTTTTGCGCATCTGCTGAACATATTAAATTATTACAGTATGCATGCATATTACATCTTAACATATTTACACCTAAGAATCTTGTCCCATACATTGTACATAAAATAATAAATATAGTAATTATCATTTAATAATGCTCATCGAATCATTAAATTTTAGTGTTTGGAGACAAGTCAATGTTCTGATTGCACTGGATCGTCCAGGAAGCTGTGTTCGAGAGGTGGAGATAGCAAGTGCTTGCATCCCTATGGAGTAAGAAAACCTCTATATTTTTCAAGATTGAACAAGTAATAAGTACTTTTATTAACGCCATATTCTTGCAGTGTGAAAGGAACTCTGACTGTGACAGAAGTAACTCGTACGGGTGCTCCTTTATTTCCCTGGCCCCGGCATGTTGTTTCCGTGATTGTCAAGGGATCAATACTTGTCAGTGTTCACGTAATCTCGAAGATGTTCTGGGATGTAGGGGTGGGGCAGATACAATTATATATGACTGCTGAACATCTTGTTGGTTCACCGCATTCTTAGTGTGAGAACAATTGCTGAATAGAAATTGTTTAATCAAGGAATTTATCAAATTGAACTCTACTCTCTTATTAAACTCAACTTAAAAATTATGCTTATATTTAATTAAATTATGGATCAATCACTACCTATCAAAGGATTATTAAATTTTTCATTTATTTGCATATATCCCAAAGCAATTTTTTATGGACTATACGCGTAGGTTGGATTTAATACTATTGTTAATGAGAAAGGTTCAACATGGGTTGAAACCTTTCTCCGGTATATCAAAATGTAATGAGGGACGACATTTTGTCATTCATAAGTTTGTTTGTGGATTTATGTACATGTTTGCAAAAATCTCGTATAAATTTCATATAAAGACAGGTCCGCCGAGAGGGAGGGTTGATGCCACGCAAATATATAATTGGAACTAATATATTGTTATGGATCGCTTTAATCATGCCCTCTCATAGTGACTTGTTTTAAATAACGGATTTTATTCATATTTTATTCGATTATTTCCTGTTATTATCACAACTTCATGTTAATCATCATCATAATTGATTTATATAAATTGTAATAACATTGAACGTAAAAGTTAAGTGCACAGGAGTCATACACATTTGATATGTTTTAAATAAACTATTATACACTTGGTAAATATATTTATTTGGTGACGATGGTATAATTTCTATGTAATCTACAGTTAGAGGAGTAAGTTTCCGTACGAAAATATTCCAGCTTTTCAATCCGTTCCCATTCCTTCATTTTCCGGTTTACGATGCCGAATTTTTTTGAATGCGTGCTGAACTTATCTGGAACACAAAAACTATAACAAATGTCCCGAAAAAATTTTCGGATTTGGCGCCAGAATTTAATTTCTACATGCAAATACAAATCAATGCGGAAAAAGTCTGCGTACCATTTACAATTAATATTATTTTCGTAGTTATAAAAAAATAAAAAAATAACCTAGTGATTTGAATGTCATCCCCGTTAGGCTAATCGATCAATAATATTATGTGTGCTATAACATTGTAAACCCGGCTTCACTTTCCCCGATCCAGAAAGTGAAGCCAGGTATAGTTACACCGATCCCACTGTGGATCGGGGACTTGTGTCTTGACCACCATGGAATAAAGACTTCCACTTTCACTCGTCCCGGTGCTAACTCACATCTTATTAGTATCGTCATACAACCATCCACATACACACACAACTTATTATTTCTTCTTCTCCTTACTTTAACTGGTGACTCTGGATGGTCCGAGGATATCACATTCTCGATAAACCGCACCCACAATCCAAAAGGAGAAGCAAGAAGAATTCACATTTTGCAAAATCTGTCCACCCTCCCACCCGATACGCCATTTTCATCACAAACTCGTTTAGGAACAAAATCCACCAATACCAACACCAAAATCCAAACAAAAAGGTCAACATCCTCTGCATGCCTCACCCGTCACACCCACTGGATGGGTCACCAATCCCTCACAAAATTCGTCATACATGCACGCCCGTTCTCCACCTACCATCTTCGCGTCTATGTGGCACCATATTCCAAATTACTGCAGTGAACCAATTTGACAAATTCCAGACTCATCGATCGGCTTCAACGACTCGGCCTCGAGACGTTCGTTCATCGCCCCGGAATTTCGAGCTCAAGGGCATCTCCAAAACTCGCCATCACTCCGCTTCTCTCTGCATAAATTTTGCAACATGCAATTACCAGATCAATTTCCTTTCTCCCGGATTTACAATACCATTCACGACACCATTGATCGTCTGCCATCACGCAAACCCACCGCAAAAAGTATAATAGAAGCCAAATTTCAGACTCATAAAATATTTGTTGCCCTCTGTACACTACCACTCCGTCGTACCACTACGGAACGGCTTCCTCCACACTAACTTTCCCCTACACGACGAGAAATCTTTTGTTCCATTAAGCGCCTCATCCATTTCGACCAGAAATAATTTCAAATACTTCGTTACAACGATTGGAAATGAGAACGTCATCTAAGCATAAAATTCCGTCGCCCATAAATGGCGTCAAATACATACGTTATTAAAGCAAGTTCGAGCTACTCAACTCGTCAATCGTGTGGCGCCGCGAGTTGACGATGTCCGTTGCCAAGTAATCCTTCAGTATCGGATATCCATGCACGGCAGAGGTCTGATAGCACTATGGGCCCTCATATTTACAGTTATCTCTCAGATTCCTGTCGAAGACGGACGGACAGCCTACATATACCCGGGTTCCCCACAATGATAAGAAAATAAAGTACATAAAGCATCGCCTTCATCCTACGTTAGATAATAACGGCCTCCCCCGCGCCCGTCCCACCGATCGCCCAGACTTGGGGCACCGATAAAAATTCTTCGCAGGAAACCCAAGTAGTCATAGGTCAATAAGTCGACCACAAATTCTTCGAAAACTTCGCATAAACCACACCCCCGTAAGCTCCCCAGAGATTTATTTTTCAGTCCCACGCTTTTCATGAATCCAACTCCCAATATATCTCCCTAAATCACTATTTTTATAAACTGTACCCTCAAAATAAAACTCGCCCTAAAATATATACAATTATGTACAACCAAACGGAAATTGAAACCCAAACGTATTCCGCAAGCCGAAAATTTTCCGTTTGAACAATTGCCCCCCCAAGTAAACCCCCACTCCAAAATATATACATACATATGTACAACGCAATGGAAATCGAAACGCATCCCTCAAAGGCCGCAAATCCTGAATTTAACAATTGACCCCTCAAAGTAAACCCCCACCCCAAGATATATACATACATATGTACAACACAATGGAAATCGAAACGCATTCCTCAAAGGCAGCAAATCCTGAATTTAACAATTGACCCCTCAAAGTAAACCCCCACCCCAAGATATATACATACATATGTACAACACAATGGAAATCGAAACGCATTCCTCAAAGGCCGCAAATCCTGAATTTAACAATTGACCCCTCAAAAAACAATATTGCGTAAATTATAAGTCATAGATATACATATCCCCCTCCTGTCCGATGAGTACTCGACGCCCAAAATTCGCTCTGTGATTCCACTTTGGGTTTGGAAGTAAGAAATCATAAACGAATTTGATCGTCGTTAATTTCCAAGCTTTGTAATCAAGTGAATGGAATTTACTGGATTTACCCGACCTTTTATTTTCAGTCATTTCCATTATATTTAAGATTCATGCAGTACCATTCAACCTTGTGATTCCAAAGTAAACTCGAGTGCAGCGAGTTTTATAGTGGTGGATCACACATATCCTGCATCATTGTATGAATACCAATATTGAATAGAAAGTTGAATTGTACAGCAACTACGATATATTGTATTTATTTCGTATTTTTGCAAACCATCTGTTACATGGGATACAGCACAGTTTTGTTCATTTGGATAAAAGCAGTTGACAGTGGAAGTCAACTTGTTAAGGAAAGAGCCGTTAGGCTAATCGATCAATAATATTATGTGTGCTATAACATTGTAAACCCGGCTTCACTTTCCCCGATCCAGAAAGTGAAGCCAGGTATAGTTACACCGATCCCACTGTGGATCGGGGACTTGTGTCTTGACCACCATGGAATAAAGACTTCCACTTTCACTCGTCCCGGTGCTAACTCACATCTTATTAGTATCGTCATATAACCATCCACATACACACACAACTTATTATTTCTTCTTCTCCTTACTTTAACTTCCCTCACCACTAATAACTTGCTCAAGACGGTTTGGTATCGAGGAAATCAATTTCGGATGACTTTGGGGTGCAAATTGTTCCATATCCGCCCGGATTCGGGTATTTGACCCGGACTTGCATTTAAGTTTGTTTTTTTCAACTGCTTTCTCGACACATCCAAGAGATTTCTAATGGGTTTCAAATAGGGTGAAAACGACACCACTGTAATACTTTTATGGTGTTACATTTAAAAAATTCCCTTACAACCCTGGTTGGGTGCGTGGAGTTGTAGTCCAACTAGGCAGTATAACTTTTCTTCCAGATTCAAGAAGATTGTTGTCAACATTCCCGTTTGCGATAATCAAATCATATTTCCCTGAATAAACGCTAAATCTCCTACACGTTTAGGGCCAAAGTAGCCCAACACCGTGACCGATCCGCTGCCGTGCTTAAAGTCGGCCGGTGTTTTTTGGGCTTCCTTTGGTCTTTTCCACACTGTGCGGTGTCCACCGGAGCCAAACAGGTTCACCTTTGTCTCATCAGACCAAAACATGGATAACCAGAATGACGGTGACTTCAATACATACTTTCGCGTAACCGCAAACGCAAACGCGGCTTTTCGCATGGTTCACTTGGCTGAGCTTGGGCTTCGTCCTATGTGTTGGCCATGTCAACAATTTTTATTTTTTATTTTTCAAATTGTGCTAAGATCGAGTGACTTGACACACTTTTTTGCAATCTGTACGACCACCTTTGGAGCACTTGGAAATGAATTTCGCTGCATTCTTAGGCTCGACTCGTGGGGTCAAGGTTTTCTTTCTCCCTGTCCTTTTCTTGGTTTGCAATCCAGCGGTCTCCGGATACCGCAGTGTTTTGGATAGTGCGGAATACGCCTGCTTGCAAATGGTCCAAAATGTTTCGATTGGACGGGGATTAGGGGCGCTTGAGGGATTTTCCTCCATCAATCCTAAACAGGAATTTTTCTCATTTTCCCGGCACATCTTGTTTACATAGTACATTGTTACAATGTCAGGCTAGAAACTCACTTCTTCTTTTATATGATGCTTCTATTCGTTGGAAATCAGATCACCGATGAGAAACTCCATGAAATACGTTTCGGAGGTCATACAGCCATCAATACCGAGTGGGGTCAAAAGCTGTCCAAACTGGTCCCATGTTTGGAAAAGAGGCATATTTCCGGAAGTTTCGAAGTGAATCCAACTTTGTGTCCAGTTTTCAATGCAGAACGACATTTAGCATGCAAAACTTGCAAAACTTCAGTTTTGTGAGGGTCATGAAAGACGTGTGACCCATCGTTAACCGGGACAATTTTTGGAACAAAATGCGGTTCACTTTGGGAAATCTGTGATTCGTGGATTTTTGTTACTTTTCACAATGCTTAGCCTGGGACATTCTTGCATGTGCTGCAATTCCGAACTTGTGGAGTTTATTGCCGTGCAAATGATTTTTATTTTTCATCAATTCCTTAGCAGCAGCAGACATAAATTTGCAGTGACTTTTTCAAACCAGAATTTCCAGTTATATCAACATTCGAGCGGGTGCAATTGTGGGAGCGGTCGTGGCGGCTTCTCAAGGTTTCCATTTTGGGATTCCCCATACTTTTTCATGTAGGAATTGATTTTTGCAGGGACGTGTTTCTCTTTTTTGAAGCACAGATAATTTGTTTTGGAAACCATCTCGGACAAATTTTTGGACTTGTGGAAAATCCGTTTCGCGAGTTTCCGACTTTGAACTCTCGTAGATAATTTGTTTTCCATCGAAATGCTCTGAAATTTCAATAATGTATAGAAAAATGTAGGGGATTTCAATTTAAAAAAATTCTCCTAGATTTTCCCGCCAGCAAAACATTTGACCATCGAGAAAAAAAGTGTCTCACTATTTCGCAAGTCCGCACTATATAAAAAAACTGCCTACCGAAAAAAATTTATCCAAGACAAAACTAAAAATTATCCTAATCCTACGCAGACTTTTTCCGCGTGGCTTTGAATTTGCATGCAGAAATTAAATTCTAGCGTTAAATCCGGAAATTTTTTTGGAATATTTGTTATAGTGTTTGTATTCCAGATAAATTCAGCACGCATTCAAAAAAATTCGGCATCGTAAACCGGAAAATGAATGAATGGAAACGGATTGAAAAGCACGAATATTTTCGTACGCAAACTTAATCCTGTAACTGTATGTACGTAGCCCCTAGTTAATCACTAATTCCGAGTTGGGCAAACATTAGTGGGAGTTGCCCATATTGTCGCTAGAGTTCAAATACTTTCTAAATAGCATGTCTAACGATGGATAAATTAATTCTTAAGGGGTAGACGAAGACATGAGGTCATATTTTTGAGCAATGAGCGCCTAACCTTAACAGCAAATATTTTTGTAGAAGGAGGAAAAATCTGACAGCAGGGGAATATTAATTCTAAACAATCAGTCTGTAACAAATTCTAACTGTTACTTATACATTTTATCCATAATATCAAGTGACAAAATATGCAAACATTGAATGGCAAATCAAACACCTAATTAGGGCTGCCAATTGTTTATTTTTGTTTAGCTTTGTTTACTTGGTAATAATTCAGTTTTTCCTGTATTGAGCATGGCAAAAATCATTCAAGATTTATGTAACCAATGATTCGTCGCCAGTGATCATTTACAAAATAACAACTTGCACATACCCAAAGTATTGTTCATTTTCAAATAATTCTAAAATTTATCTCCTGATGAGGGATCAAGTGTTGATCCGAAAGCTTGAGAGCAAAATAAATATTTTTAAAAATGAAAATACTACCAATTATGAACCACAAGGATGGAAGCATATCAAGAACATTGCAAAAAGACATGGTGGTATGCTGATTCGAAGAAACTCGAAAAAACAGAATTGAAGATGACTGAACTGAGGAAGGAGATTATATTAATAAAAAGGTTCTGCTGGAATCATCCCAATTGGTCTCAAAATCAAGAACAATTGGAAACATATCCCAGGGTCGGGCAATATCATTCAGTCATGCCAGCTCAAATTATTAAAGCTTGCGCATGACGAAAAATTCGCAGAGGCGCCGATAGCCCCACCCCTTGACGCCATGAGGCTTACAACTAAGGTCAAGTGTTTAGGTGAGTACCATTATCAAGTTTACGTGTAATGGCGACGTTTTAATTTCGGAAACCACGACGGATGATAATGTTCTGCCATTTAAATTCCTTAACATTGACTTTGACCAGACCCCCAAGGACCCCAAAGTAAAGGAGTGGCACCAGCTCATCGTCAAATATGACGACCTGAGTATTTCGAGCATTGCCCCCAAGAATTTACACCAACGCCCTTCGAATCGTAAAGTTTACTTAAAAAAACTAAATGGAAAACGAATTCTTGTTTTTTGACTTTGTGACCTTGACAACTTGTGGGTGTTAACGAATTTCAAAAATTTAAAATTATATATTTCGCCAAAGGGTTCAAAGTTTCTAATACTTCCGGAATTTTGAAAATTCATCAAGAATTGACAGCGTGACAGATTTTAAAACCTTTCAATGTTATTAGTTATACTTGGTCCATCTTTTTGGCATGAACCATAGCCTTAGTTGAACTTGTAGACATTTAGCTAAGCAAGATTTACACATTTGCATTTACCACAGAAAATCGAGATATTTTGGCGGGAGGGTGACATTTTAGTAAAGGATTTACTTTCTCATTAAAAGCAAGACGGTCTAATGTACCAAAATATTATCTGAATTTTCTCGACGCCGGAATTTATGGGAAAATTGAAGATGAGCAGAGAGAAAGAGCATTTTTATTTAGACATGCCTCAGTTCGTTTGCATGCAAATCAACAAACAGCTGCGTCTGGTATGGACGGGGCTATATTGACAATATTTATTTTATTCGGATATTGTGCAGTAATATGTACAGGTGTGTTCCTAATAGAGATGCTGAGGAGATTTACAAATTTTGCAAGAGTGTGTTACGGATAGTATATTATAAATGTTTACTACTAAACCACAAGCCCCTTGCTTGCATAAAGTATTTAAAACCGCCTTTGAGAAAAGCTGAGAAGCTGGTGTGAGCACTCGAGTATCGACTGCTAATTCTTTGGTTGAATTAATCCCGTGAAATTTTCCCCAACAGTATTCTGATGAAATACGCGAATACCAGGCCTGCCAAAAATACTATCAGAACAAAGAGTTGAGAGCATACGTCTGTTTATTTGTGTGCTTTTTTGGACTCCCGCACACTCTTCCTTCGACTTGCCCCGATTCTCTCTCCTTCGTCCACCCTCTGTCGCGCATCAATCAAACTGCTCATTTCATCATCATCATCATCATAACCTGCCGGCCAGTACCACCACCAGCCAGAAACAAATTTTCGTCTTCTTCCCTCTATACAAATTTTTGGTGAGTCGGATTTGGTTAATTAATTAATGGTTCCCATGACAACCAGCCCCGTTTGGTTGTTATGGCAACCCTTTTATGTATTCTTTTTTTGGTTTTGCAGGGCGACGGGTTTTAGGGGCAGTCAATCCCCACCCCCACCAAGTAGCAGTCGTCCTCCTCCTCCACCACTACAGATTGGTGAGTTGGGGTGTGGTTAATTAATTAATGGTTGCCAAGACAACCAGCCCCCTTTGGTTGTTATGGCAACCCTTTTATTCTGTTTTTGGTTTTGCAGGGCGACGGGTTTTAGGGGCAGTCAATCCCAACCACCACCAAGTAGCGCTATCGTTAGATGCTTCAAAAGTTAGGGGTTTCAAGTTGCCAAAGGGGGAATACACATGGAACTGAAAACTAAGGTCAAAGACGGCAAGCTCGTGCCAATGGACAACCACCACCACTACAAAGACGTGCCAGAAAAGTATCATCTGCGACTGTGCTCAAGAAAATTGACCTGCTGAGGTCAAAATACAATCCACCACCCCAAGGGTAATTTTCCCGTGTAGTGAAAGGGTCTTGAAAGACTGCTTAACGAGCAATTAAAGGTGTAGGGAAGACACGACGGAGGAAAATACGAGTTCATCAGCCGACAGATATGCAAACAGGCACTCGTCGCCTGACCTGCAGAAACTTTTACACAATTTTTTTGACAAATCAGAAAAGTGATTTTTTAGTGTCATTGGACGAAGCACTATTTTCCCTACAAGATAAAAATGGTCAACGCAAAATTTACTACTCCAGAGACTACTAAAAAATTCGAGAAGATTACCTATGCCACACAGGAGAACGTTTGTAAAAAAATTAAGGCGGCTGGCGTGAAATCAGGTAGTGTGGTCCTTCCACATTTCAGAGTACCCCCAAAAGTGAAGGAAACTGCGAAGTTTACTTCGTTTTGAAGCCCTTTTTTTAACGCCACGTTCCAAAACTAACCGGCAAGGAGACCTGTAAGGTGATCGTTTATTATTACGTCGCGTCATCTGGTACTACAAAGTTGACCCAGGATTATGCGAAGGACTTGCAGGCTAGACTGCGGATAAAAATCATTTCGAATAAGGAAACCCATGTCAAATCACCTGACATAAGCCCAATGGACTCTTCGGCTTCGGATATCTGGAAAGAAAATTTTTTCTCCGTCGACTTAAAATTTTTCGTGGAGTGTGGAAAGTTCTATGAAATAAAAGAGGAGTTTGGCAAAGTCGACCAGGTCAAGAAAGGTTATAGAAACAAAGTTTATGCAGAGATTCAATACACAAATTCTCAGCCGAATCCATGGAAAGAAACGTATCGAAGATTTTGAAAATTTGGCCCCAAATTCATGAACCATTAACATCTTCGTGTTTTCCAAAATACTAATGGGCTTAGGAGCTTGGATTGTCTATTGCATTACTGTATTTCATCTAATCGTTACAGTGCAACTGTATATACCATGATTTATTTTCGTTATCTAGCTGTTTTTTAAATGCATGTTCTTAAACTCATTTGGAAATGGTGCCAATCATGGTTTACATTTTCTTCCGTTTTTTACGGATTTTATTTTCGACCATAATTTTCCTTGAAACCCGCTACTTTTCCTGCCAAGGTAAACTAAAATTCGGACGACTCTAAGATAATCCTCGGTCAAGTAAACCAATACTGCCAGCACTAACACCACACCATGCCCGATAAATAATAGTCCTACTGATTCTATAAGATTAATTATCTTAATTGAAAAGGTGTTCAACCGGTGCAGATGATGGGAGCTGTGTATTGTACTAATGAAATATTTCCTTAATTGTCAGAAACGAATCCAGCTCATTTAAGTTTTTTAGAAAGTAATTGAAAAAGTAATTGAAATCAATTACGATGTACTTAGAGTATGTGGGTAATTAAGTATTCGTCGACTCAATTACTTTCAATACAAAATGTACTTCAGTATTAAATATGTGCTTTGAAACTGTTTTGCAATAATTGAAATCAATTACCAATTACTTTGTTTTTGGTAATTAAGTAAGTAATGAAGTACAAAAAGTAATTAAGTACGCAGCCCTGCCACCGATTAGAGCAAATAATGCAATTACAAATGAACTTAATTAATCTAAAATTACATACAATATCATGAAGAACAACTCTTTCTTCATAATCAACGAGTTATGGTTTAGCGGTTTAGTTTATTAGTCTGAGTTTCGGTACAGAATAATTAATAAGAGTTATGCGGTATGTGGGTAAATTGGGAACATTTTTCTAATTAAATTCACTTCCCTTTCAATCTAAACGTGTTGAAAGTGTTAAAAGTTATTTCATTTTAAGAAAGGACTAAACGTTCAAATCATTAAATATCTTCCTGCATTGACAAGTTTCACTTCATAGACAAATGTGCAGGATTTTCTAGAAACCCTGCAAAGTTGTAATGACTTATCGATTCCGACCTACATACATACATATTTTGCTGCTGCTTCCTAATTACCTTCGTATGATAAAGCACCCCGAATATGTTGAGAATTAACTCAAACCAGACACTGCCAGACTAATCTAAAAATTTTTGTAACAAATTAATTTAAAGTTTTAAGTGGTCAGATGTTTTTGTAAATAGAATGAAAGATTGGGTGTCAAATGGACCCCGTCAGACGGACCTACGAAAAATGACCCCGCCCATATTTTCCCAACGCCGTATTGACCCAACGTCATATTGACGCAATGTTATATATGTACATAAGTAAATTTACTGTATTTTATTTCATATTAAATTCAAGTCAAATATTCAAAAAACAAAAACATCGCCTCTGTCAACGAAACAAAATAGATGATAAACTCTAAATGGTAAAATTGTATGCAACGCTTCTTAAAAAGACTAAAGTTGAAATTGTCCCAGGGCGTTCGACAGAATTCCTTAGTTTTGCTGCACTCTTGGCCATTATGGGCATGTCCAGTTTTTGCGGGTCAATCTGACGGGGCCCATTTGAACCCATACCGAATGAAAAGCTGCAGAATGTAGTTAGACCCATCACTGCTATTAATTTGGCACTAAATTAATATGGTGTGCATTAATTGCATTTCTTGCATTTTTTTCAAATTACGGCAAAAAATCATTTGTTTGCGTAAAAAAGAAACACTAACCTTCGCTGGGCTATGCATAAAATACCTTAGTTGCTCTGGCAACTCTTTGTATGAAAATCTCATTGCATGTTCGCTGCTTTCATTATATTTTTTGTAATCTCTTAATACAGGTGATATCCCCAATTTACAAGCAAAAACTGTAAATACAACATAAATACAAATACCACAGATATGCTATTATAAATATTTATTCTGCTTATACATATATTTATAATAGGCATACTAGTTAATGTGCTGAGATTTCGACGGATTAAGTTCTAGACTGCCATGTCCATATATGTATGCATGTATACTAATTTACATGCATACTAATTTACATATTTATTTATAATTATGTAGCACTTTTCAGTGTCTAACCGCGGTTTTTGGTTGTTTCTGTCTATGATTTGGTCCACCCCCTCCAATAATAGTGTGTAGTTTGATCGGCTGACGTCGGATATGGGATTGTGATACCCGACCAAGAATTCGTATGAACATTAACGAAATTACATCAAGAGAAAACTAATCAAAAAGTCAATAGATTTTCTCCAAACTAATAAGAATGTAGCTCGATCAAAAAATTTCCCATCCCCTAAGGTTAATTTTGACGGTTGACAGGATCTGACGAATCGCTGAATCCATCTAGAATTATTCAGCCTTCGTAAGGATTTGAGCAACTCAGTCGACTTGACGAATGGGTTCGCAATCATTCGAAATGGTCCCATAATAACAAGGAACATTTCAGTAGCTACTCCGAGGGACAAAAGTAAAGCTGGTACAGGAACCAAAGATGTCCCCGTTATTACAATATACAACGTCCACGTTTGACAGACTGTTACGCCTCCAACCAATGTGGGCATGAAAGGTTGTCTCAAGACGGAATTTTGCATGGTGGATAATATTTCCAGCGTCCGATAGGTTCTCAGATATTTAATAGGACAATTCACTTCTGATTCCAAATTTCTAATTAAACAAGGTATATTAATATTTTGTTGTATGTTTAATGGATACTAACCTCTTCATTTTCTCGACGATTCCTAGTATAGTCACAGTCGGATAATTAGAATGAGTGTAATAATGAACAGAAACGTGACTGAAAGTGGATAGGCAATGCATGAAAGTAAAATGGCTGTCCTCGTTCTTAAGACCACTCCAGCATTTCCATCATCGTGCCACGATTTACATTCGATATATATGACACTCGTTAATACAGGTGGCATGCATGGCTGCAGCAATGCAAATGTAAAGGGTAAAATCGGAACCAAAATTACCCCAAGTGTGGATATGATGATAAAGATAGCGTAATACCGATGGAAACTGTTTATTCCTGAAAATTGGAATATCAGAAATATATCTGTAATTTTATTAATTTTCTTTCAATTGGTCCAACCATATATTCTCGAAAGAATGCTAGAGCTATAAAATTCCAGCTGAAGTGAATTCTGGCATGTTATATAGTATCATATTTAGTAAATTATAAGGTTTACTTGGATTCTGGAAATTTGGACGTGGATTTTGCATTTATAATTTATAATTATGAGCTAACCCACCTTTCATATTTAGATCTTGTTCAACTTTCTGGGCAGAATTTAGAAGAAATATTACTTCTTCCTTAAGGTACGTCAAGTGAATTACGAACACCATAACTCCGGAAAACAATGTTATGCAGTAGTACATGAAGACGAAATTCCAAGTAGGAGCAACATGCTCTGCTGGATACCACCATTGTTCCAGCAGCCAATTGAATACTACCGCGGTGTGAATTAAAATGGCTAAAGTTAAGAATACATGTCGATGATTTTTTGAATTCTTAACAAACTTTTTTTGATTCATGGAGAATGGAAGCTGGTTGGGCAAACGTAGCAGAATCCAAGAATGGAAAGTTACGATCGGAATATTAGAGGATACATTGGTAGGCCAAAGGAGAGCCGTCATGGTCTGTGGAATACTGGTGAAGCAAACCCGCTTATTGCACATACTTGTTTATTGATGAAGGGAACCAGTTCATCAAAGTTCGTATCCTTATATTTCGGAAAGTTTCTTTCTATTGGCATCAAGCTTTGCAATAACCAAATCCAGAAAATATTTACTGTTTTCCAGAAACAATTCTAGTCAACTAATGAGATAACATGTGTGTGCATCTATCTACCGTAAGCCCGACAGCTCAATATTTTTTAAAAAACTAGAATGGTTTATTTGTTAAAATTTAGGGATCAAATCCAAAATACTATTTGTAATGTGTGCACTAAAAACGAGAGTTTACACGGGGTATTAATTACTGATGAAAAATTTATGCTTGGCATAACGGTGGTCGGAGCGTTATTCCCGTGCTTGTTTTCATGTTCGCTGAATTCGATGTGGTGCAGAACAAGCCAATGTAATCTACTGCACAAATTTGTTATATGGTTTGCAGGCTAGATTAAAATTACAAATTTATGGAATATTCTGTATCTCTTTCCAGGTTATAGTTAATAAAGGCGTCCGAATTTATTGCTATGAAATAAAGATTGATGTTCAAAGATGAACAACAGTATGCATTTATATGTATGTACTGACTCTTGTTCGACACAATTAATAAAAACCTTATCAATCAATCAATCAATTTCGGTAGTAATCCCTGTTACGTACCATGTCTTAAATAAATCAACTGTATAACTTATTAGATTTTTAGAAACCGTGTCCAGTTTAAATTTCCTTTTATGGTTTTGAGTTACGTTCGAGGATAATTTAAAGTTGATCAACTACAAGTAGTCATATTTCGTTTATCTTTCTTTGAATAAATAACCACATTGGAGGAGAAATTATTTATTCATTTCGTAATTATTCACAACATTATTGGTAGCAATTTTATTTGTTTAGCTTGTAGGTATATGTACCGTACTGACGCAAACTGTCGGCACGTTTTTAATTCGGTATATGTACATATGTAATTTGCCCAATTTGCCTCTGAAACTTTATCGGAAAACAGGGAGTAGAGGTATATTAAATGAACTGTGAAAATCCCCGTCGCATCGATCTCACCGAATTTCATTTAAAAAATTACAATTTGAATTCCGGGTGTAAGGATCAATATAGCATAACTATTTTAGAATTATATGCCACCACACCCCCAGGAAAAATAGGGGCAATAAATTGGGAAATATGAGAAAGTCAATGTACACTCGGTCAAATACGAATTAGACCCCAAGTTGCATTTGACATTCAAATTCCCCCTTGAATAGGAACAGTTTAATGCACAAAAACTTTCAAAATTGGAAATTTCGCGCCTTTTTTACCCACACATAAATCATCAAAAAAGTCACGGTACCAGCACTTTCAGTCAGACAACCTAATGCCAGATTTTTCTCCTACTAAAAACCTACATTTTAGGCTTTTGTTGTCCGAGTGAAAGTGCTGGTACCGTGACTTTTTCGGGGTCAAAGTTTCTGTGGGGGCAATCTTATATGGCAAGAGCCGTAGCAAACTTTTGGCCACATGATGATGATGACATGGTCGAAATTAGGGGTGGTGGTGGTGACAGGGAATGGAATTGGGGGTGGTGGTGGGGACAGGGAATGGAATTGGGGGTGGTGGCAAACGTGGCTGCTCCGTATGGGAGGAGTGAGACTCCATGGTGCACTTTTTTTATTATTTTATATAAAAAACTTGCACTTTTTTATATTTTTTATTTAAAAACTGGAGACTTCGGAAGGATGAACCAACTCGTGTGAGAGATGAAAAGCATCTCAACATGAGTTGGTTCAAAAACCCGGTCGAAAATTAAATTTTCACGGTGAGAGAGAAAAAGTGAAACGGATCTCGTACGGCACTGTCGTTGCGGTGGTGGTGGACACCCAAAAAATCAGTTTCTCTCTCTCTCTCTCGCTGAATATGGAAACAGCAATTTATGTACTGTTGGTTTGATTCGGCTCAGTAATAAATGAACTCACCCAATCACCTTGTAATTTCTTCTTTTAAACTAAATGCATACCTATGTACATACATACATAGTATTTATATTTATCAGGGTGCCGACTTGATCAAGTGAGGCACTTTAAATTTGGATATTCAAAGGTGGTAAAAAATTTCAAATTTGTTGTTTTCTCTTTTTGTCTTTTACTGTAGGGGCTCTA